CAGCGGAAAGGGCCAGGCGCAAGAGGCTCTGGATACACAGGAAGCTGGGGACAAGGTCGCGATGGTGGTCGTGGAAGGGGAGGGGGACAGGGATATTCGGGTGGGAATCGTGGACAACGAAGAGGAGGCGGGGCAGGATCGAGGAACAACCAGGGGCAAGGGCGAGGGAGAGGTTCTGGTGGAGGATACATCGGGGGGGCAACATACTACCCGACGCAAGCCAACGTGGGCGCCGAAAGCTTCGAGGAGCAGAAGGCATACATGACCAGTTTGGCGGTCAGGCAGATCGAGTTTTACTTTACCGTGGAGAACCTGTGCAGGGATATTTTTATGAGATCCTACATGGACGAGGAGGTGAGAAAGAAACCCGGCTGCAACATGACAAAGGCAACTGCAGCCGAGCATGCTCGTCCCCACGCTGCCCAGCGGGCGGAATTCTGCGCGTAGTCCCATATCTTATTGCAACAGTACCTGGCTAGGTAAAGACGTGTGGGTATATCCTCCCGACAAACCGCAAGTGTGTTTGCGACAGGTTCATTTTCAGAATTCGGATGACTTCACCGCCACCCACATACGCCGACACATCCACACAGCAGTATTTGGACGATAACCTGGAAAAGTTGTGCTAGCCTTATCCCTGGGTTAGTGTGGAACTCTGGGACAGGCAAGAGTCCGTCAAGGCAAGTACAGTGTGAAACACAGGTAAACACGTTAACACGTTCCGTGCGAAGGTCCTGACTTCTTGTTGACCGTGCCAGCCGTGTGTCTTGAGTACTTGTAGGGTGGGCCGGTTAGATCTTCGAGCAGGAGAAGCAGCTTGAAGTTTACCTCGGCTGCTCGACCCTCGACACTCGTAATCCGACACCAAAAATAACACTTTACGTACGAACGTATGTCTCACGGAGCGTATTACCCGCGGTACAGTTGTCACTGCTGTGCGCTAGGTGAGGAGCAGTAGAAACAACGGTATGTTCAGATAAGAAAATCCACCGCTACTCTACTACCCTGACTCCTGTCCACCGATAGAAGGATATAATTGAAGTTTTAGTCCCCTACTGACTAATCGCCGTGGTCATCTTGACTTTTCCGCAAGGGCTACATCCCCATCGCGTTTGTCGCAAACTTTCCGGGGGTGGCGCGATTTGGCGTGGAGCTAGAAGATATCACGGCGGGCATCCTGGCGAGCGACACACTGCAGGTTGGTCACGCCTCAGTCACGGGCGATTGGACGTGTTATGAAGCGCGACAATGAGGCAGTTTGACTACTTCTTAAGATGATGTCTTCAGTGTATTGTACCATTATGTGTTGCACAATCCATACCTCAGTGATATAATTCTACAACACCATCACACCCGCGTGGTGTGCTGTGTACCCGTGGTTTTTGTGGCTCTTCTTCGTTCATTTGGGCGTGTCGTGTAGGTGTATTGAACTATCACACGTTGATATCGTTCGTTAGCGTTCTGCAAAGGCGGTGTGCATACCTTCTGTTACCGTTTGGTCCATAGTTTTTGCTCTCTGGCCTGCTTGGTATGTGTTCCAATAGGGTCGGGTCGGGATGACTTGCAGTATGTAGATAGCTGGGCCAGCCACGTTTTTCGAGGTTAAACACGCACGAAAAGAACGAGCAGTCCATAGCACTCACACACCAGGTACACAGTTTTCCGTGTTTCTTCTCCGCAGACCTCAGACGATTCAGCGTAGGAGTAGTGCATAGCAGGCTCGAAGTAATAGAGGTTGGTGCAGGAAGCTACTGTGGAATCAAAGCTAGGGTGTGGGATCATTTCCTGATGTTGAGGCATTGAGTAGGAAGACACACACACACACACACACACAGGATGCATCTACTGCTGTATGACAAGGCAGGACTTACTGAACAGCCAAGATGAAAGAAGCAACACTATCAGCCGTCTTAATCGTTCCGACGTACGCTGCTGAAGAACAGTAGATCAACCAGTTTAAGTGGTGAACACGTTAGAGCGGGTTCCGTGTCTGCCGCCCCGCAATAAGAACGAACGTAGAGACAAGATTATTGCTGCGAAAACGACCAAACACAATAACCTGTTGTAATCGATGCATTCCACTGAAAGAAAGCAAGAGAGGTAAGGGTGACAGAGAAGAGCACTTCGTTCGAGAACGTGTAACTGGGCGTGAGGAAAGTCAGGGTACACGTGTTTGGTGAGATATTTGCGAATTTTCGTCGAAACATCTTCATATTGGACCATTCCGAGATTCGCTTTTTTTCTGATGTTTACCTTCTGGTCAACACTCACGCGTTCTCAAATCATTCAAATTACACCTCTCGCAGCAGCGCTGCATGCTGGCTGTTTCACCACAGCAGAAGTATGGACAGAACAAGAGTAGGGGATACCTGGGAGGACCTACGTCGGCATCAGTATGGTTTTGCGGGTCATTTGGATGTGCACCAAAGAGTGAATTACATGTCCCCAATCGAACTATTTTTGACACAACGCTTGTATTTCACGATGAAACCAAGGTTTGAGACATGAACACACCTACTCATCGCGCGTAAGGCCCTCGAAGCAGCCGCAGGTTCACCACGCGTTGAGTCCTTGGCACACGGTGGGGTGGCTGGGTGACTGGCGTTGGGTAGGAGTGAGCCAAGACGTTGCAAATGAATGACCCAAGGAGAGTCAGCCCGACTCATTTTCCCCTCAACCTGCGCAAGCGTTGTATTCGGAAGGCGCAAGATGAAATTATATTCAAACGCTGTACCTGTTAAAGTAGCGATCTGCTTGATGGCATATTTGTACAGGTGAGTCTGCTGAGCTCAGATAGAGGACCCGCAGCCTGCGAAGTATATGTAGTTTTCAAGCCCTCGCTCGTTGCGGTATATTTCTGTAGTTTCCCCAGTTCGGCTGCATGTGGTTTGCCTCTGGTCTTGTATGAAGTCAACGTTGTGTATCGTGCACCAATATCTTATGAATGACCTTTGATTGTGAGACACTAATTCGTGACACTGATGATGCCACGTTAGGTCGATACCGAAAACGAGACGATGCGCATGCGAGAGGGGTGGGAAGTGTGGCTTCTCCCGAACCAAGCTACTGGCAAGCAAGGCGTGCCGCGGTATATCAAGGTCGACCCTACGGTATCAGAGGCTGATAAAGTGAACGGGACAGACCCTGGTGGGATTTCGGCACAGGTCAGAAGGAGGATTTCGTCGTGAAATACAATGCTTAGCATGCACCGGGTGGTCTATGTTGGAGGTCTCAGCGAAAGGGAATGTGAAGTTTGTGCACGTTGACAACTATTGTTACCATGCATGTGTCCCCATGGGTTGAACTTAAGTCGAACTTCGTCCCATCCCATACCATCGTCTACTGTTTTGGGCCTTCTCTAGCGTGTGTGTCTCACTTCACCGTTACACACCGTGGCTCTACAGGTGCAAAGCGAACCCTATCTTTCCATTGCTATTAATCAAGGTGTGCTCACAGGTCGCTCCTCAACTTGGTTTTCGACGGACCCACGTACACATGACGAGTTCTTTTTTTCTCCCAATGCACAGACAACACAGGACGCTGCTAGCGCGGGAGACGTTCCCGACGCAGAGGACACACAAACATCACTCAACGAGGACAGCACGGCAGGGGCGGAGAAGAAAGAAGGCGAAAGTATGACGAGGCCAGTGGCCGAAGAACAGCAGAGCTCATCGGAGAAGGATAAAGTATCCCATGAAGACGGGGCCAAGACAGAATTGACGCCACTTGCGCCGGCCTGGACGCCTGTTGGGGCCTCGACGGACACCGTACAAGAACAATCATCGCCACCGAGTTCCCCCACCGCTGTACCTTCCCCTGACCAGAAAGCCCCAGGAGAGGAGGCAGGGGGGAATGATGAAGAGCGCGAGACAGACGAACTAGCGGTCCCGACTGCCGAATTGAAACCGTGACATGAAGAAAATACGAAAATACAGTTCGGAACAAGGAGATGAAGAACAGGCGGGTCGCGCAGCACGACTTGGATAGGATCTGTTTTGAGCTGGCGACGTTGCGTACTCTCCTGGTCTGCATGTTTTCGAACGGTGACGTTCGCCATGATCAAGTCTAGCTGCTGTTGTAGCGACGAAGAGTTGTGGCTGTGCCTCTTTGAAATCGTTGCGAAACGAGATGGTATCGCCCCGTAAATGTCTTTAGCCACAACGTAGTGTTGACGCACAGCTAGGGAAGCAGATTACTCCGGCTCGAAGGCACCCTAGTTTTCCGTCGTGGCGCGGTGATTTGACAAACGCGGCCACTCCCGGGGCAACGAGATAAATCGATTCCATCCGCTGTGCCGAACCGCGTACAACGCGTGTAGTTTTTTGTGACGTACTTGCATGTCAAGCAGTGTTGCTAATTTGTCAAAGGCGGCGTCTACCTTTTGTGTCTTGCTCAGTGTATCTCCAGGGCTTGTTGCATGTGCGCGAAACATGTCGGTGAAGAATGCTTGACGGTCAATGCCTACACAAGTGTACAGTAGAGGCGCCGCGTGTGTTTAGTTCGAGAGGGCGTCGTTGGCAGGGTCACGGGTTAGTAACTCAGTAGTATTGCTCGAATTGGTCTTGGATGATCACCGAAGACCCAGTGGAAAACAGCAGGATGCGTTTCACTGTGCTTGCGCATTGTCATGTGGTCGTATGTTTGTTCCCCTCGTTGTAGTGCACGAGTACCAGGTTTGTATGCAGTTCCAGGCAAGCTGACCTCCCGCAACCCACTCCAGACGTACTTGTCTTCGTTGCAAACCTTCATTTGCTGTGATGCTAGTCAAAACTGAAGCACAGGCGTGGTGGGTCGGCCACTCGCACTCTCCCTGGTTTGAAGACGAGCGCGAAATACCCTCACATGTGAATGATACACCGAGATACACACAGGTTGTCCAGCAAGTTATCCCATGCCGTACGGGACCCTGCACCAATCGAAAGAAAAATGTCTTGCCCAGACATGTGTGGAACCTGCAAGTTGACCGGAAAGTTCAAATACACGTCCAACAGCTTTGCAAGGTTAGGTTCTGTAGGGTACGGGTAATGTCTGTGGGGTATTGGATCTGTTACAGAACCGGAGGGTAATCTCTGTAGGGTACGGGATGTGCTACAGAACTCACAAAAGTGTAGGGTATTGTGGCATGACCGTCACAGAACTCACAGAAGTGTTGGGGTATTGTATACAGAACAAGAGGGTAATCTCTGTGGGGTATCGGGTGCGCTACAGAACTCACAGAAGTGTAGGGTATTGTGGCATGACCGTCACAGAACTCACAGAAGTGTTGGGGTATTGTATACAGAACAAGAGGGTAATCTCTGTGGGGTATCGGGTGTGCTACAGAACTCACAGAAGTGTAGGGTATTGTGGTGCAACCGTCACAGAACTCACAGAAGTGTAGGGTATTGCGGCACGACCGTCACAGAACCCACAGAAGTGTTAGGGTATTGTATACAGACCAAGAGGGTAATCTCTGTGGGGTACCGTGTGTGCTACAGAACTCACAGAAGTGTAGGGTACTGTGGTGCAACCGTCACAGAACTCACAGGGTAGGCTCTGTAGGGTATCTGTAGGGTAACTACAGACGGTCATTACCCTCGGTACCCGCGCGAGTCTCTGTATTTGCAAACTGCTGTTTGCCTTCGTTCGACTCGGTTTCAAGGTACTAAACCAAGACTTGAAAACATGAAGCGTGCTTGCGTACGGCCCCTATATATCCCAGTCCTCAACTTCCCAGGTGACAGCGGAGGACTACTGCTAAAAAAAAAACATAAACATAAACAAAAAGCATTTCACGTTTAGACTATGTTACGTTTTCCTCTACCCTCTCCACTTCCCAGAGGGGGAAAAACCTGCACGACGAAAAAAAGATCAAGACTGAAAACCTGAGTGCAAAGGATTTCGTGGTGCGCCCCCACGACTACTCCTCGCCAGCAGGCAAGGGGCAAACTCCGTTCCCATCCGACTTTTTCCCAACACAACAGCAGTAGCGAGAAGCAAAGAGGGGTCTCTCCTGAACACCCCCCCCCCCGACAGTCAGTCTACACGCCAATGTCGTTCGCGGTGTTGTTCACCACGTCGAAGGCGGCCTCAGCGGCCTTCAGGTCAGCGTCCCTCGCGCCGGTGAACTTTGCGGTGAACTTTGCCGAGGTCTGCATCGCTCATGCTCCCGCTGAACCCGATACCGCGTGTCGTACGGTGTGTTTGTTCTGCTGTATGTACCAGATGTGTTCTGTTTCTCTGCTGAAGGAGGGTCTTGCTCTGTGTGTTGTGTGGTGTTTTTTGAGGGTACGCTTCAAGTTGGACTGACGTCAGCATCCCGGGGTAATCACAAATGTGGAGGGTAGTTCCACAAATGTTTACCCGTACCGCGGGTAATTGTGCCGCCGGCATACAGAACAGGAGGGTAATCTCTGTGGGGTACGGGATGTGCTACAGAACTCACAGAAGTGTAGGGTATTGTGGCATGACCGTCACAGAACCCACAGAAGTGTTAGGGTATTGTATACAGAACAAGAGGGTAATCTCTGTGGGGTACCGTGTGTGCTACAGAACTCACAGAAGTGTAGGGTACTGTGGTGCAACCGTCACAGAACTCACAGAAGTGTAGGGTATTGTGGCGCTACGGGCACAGAACTCACAGAATTGTTCTGTAGGGTAAAACAGAGGGTAATTACCCCCAGTATAGATCTGTGGGTACCCTACAGAACCTAACCTTGCAGCTTTGCCACGCTGCTTGCGGCACTACGTGCTGGTGGATTCCCCCCCGGGCGTGTACTTCGAGAAGTCCTTACTCATTTGATCCGCCCCAAGAATTTCGATGGAGTATCCGTCGGGATCTGCGTTGAAAGAAATTACAAAGCAAAGAGTGGGAAAACGCACGAAGGTGGGACAGTGGGGAGCATATCATTGGACATCACAAGCTGGCGGGCGGATTTTGATCGGCGACCTACAAAGAGCTCCGGGATGTTAGGATGGCAGGTCTGTCACCACATGCCTTTACGCTTGTTATTGGGTCGGAGTTTCTGCAGCACCAAATGTGGTGTCTGTCAATGCCACTCGCCGAAAATGAACGCCAGGCCCTTCATGTTGCCCCCATCAGGTGTCTTGCGGAACTTCACTCCCTCCTTTTCGAATCTTTCGCACGCCTTGTACACGTCAGGCACGGTAATACCGATGTGTCCGAATCCTCGAGGATCCTCGTTGCCAGAATGGTATTTCAGGTCGGCGTCATTCTCCGTCCCCCAATTGTGTGTGAGCTCCACGGCACCGGCCTGGACGAAAGAGATCGGGTGCCGGTGGTCAGAAATCACTCAGGAGCTAGCAAGCGTTGTGGAGGTGTTCCAGCGAAAACGGGTACATTTCACAAATTGCACGAAGTATCTAGCGGTTACGATATAAGAAGGGTCGGACAATCGAAAACCTCTTAAATCCGCTTTCCCTTCAACTATGCAATTATATGAATTTTCATGACGTTTGCAGGCTTTCTTCACTCTCTCAACCCGAGGTACCTTGTGGCCTCTCTCATTAATCGTGGAGATCAGCTGTATTGAGGGGACAGTCTTTGTACTGATATCCAGAGAGGTGGAAACGCACCTGTTGGAAGCACCACCTTGTGCGCTCCTTAGGGTCCGCGGGAATCTCCGATGGGTCACAGTACCCGACGAAGTAGATGCTGAACTCCCATTCCGCGAAATGCAACTCTTGCATCAGCCTACGCACAGCGTTAGCGAGCAAGTGCAGAGAGAAAGACAGATCTAAAAATGGAGTTCTCGTCAACCTCCGATCAGGAGCCAGAGACTCCCGTTGACTGCGCGACTCCCTTGAGGTTGCTACCCCTCGAGGCTGGAAGAATATTTTCCACTTAGCATCTAATGAAGCAACATTGTCTGACCATCTCCAGAGCATGAAACTTGACGCGGGGCGCGGTTTGGTTCCAACAAAGCAAAAAGCTCAACGATGTAAAACCAACCCCGTGTCCGCACTTCCAACGTCTACCATGCACCACTTCACAGGGCCATCCGCACCACGCGACGATGGCTTACGGAAAAGTTACCTCATTCCTAGAACCCTCGTGTAGAAGTCGAGACTCAAATGGGGGTTCTTGATCCTGCGATTGCGCGAAACATAAGGGGAAAACAGGAGGGTCTATACGTGCATAGTCTTTGTCAGAATACTTTGTCACAATGGTACAGCACCTTCCGGGGAACAACATTCCACGTCCAACAACTAAGGGTGACCAATATGCAAGGCGCTGAGCATTCAGCGATGTTCCATTCTGGCCTGTTCAGTGAACAAGCACAAAATGTATTCATGTCTGTGCCAAACATGGATGCAAGGACTGTGCCGATGTCTCCAACTAACCACACTGTTGTACTGAAGCAATTTTCCCTAGCATCATCAGCAAGCTGGTTTGTATGTTTGTCTCCCTCCGTCAATGAAACCACCTTCAACAACCTCACAGCACAGTACCTCCTCTCTACATGACCGCTGTGCTGATGCACTGAGGACTGCCGGCGACCTTCTTTGCGTTTGCGATACCAACAGGACGACCCCACAACAGAGTCATATACTCCTGCCCTGTGTACTGGAACAAACCGCCCTATCGATACTGCTTGCTGCTGGACTACATGCAGCTCCGGCGCCGATATGTATGCAAAAGAAGTTGCTCAGATCTGCTGCTCCTACCTACATACTGTGCTGTCGTGCGATGTTAGAGAGGAACATGTCACAGTCAAAGGACACAATCACAAGAAAGACACACGGCCTGAACGTTCCGCCGAGGCGAACGCCCGTGCTAGCTTGTGGCCACATTTTTGCAGCAACCTGCGGTGGACACACATCAAGCGGAGTCACCGCGAGATAGTTGAGGCCAGACAAGCTCGTTCAGCTGCAAATCGGGCGCGTGTCGTTGCTGCCGCAGCACGCCGCGATATACCCAAGCAAGCAACTATCAAACGCAACTCTCAAGCACAAGAGCTGGACGGAGCCGCGGCTAGAGGATGGAATGGAATCGGATTGCAGGCCAGATGCAGAAATTGACAAACAGGCAAAAGCCGACGCTGCAGGCGTTTGTGCAAAGGCGTCGGCAAGTTCCGCGCAAGCAGTTCGGCAAAAGCCTCGGCAATGAAATCTGCGAGCCGACTGTTCGCGCCACGCAAGCATGTCTTGTGTCGTTTGATTTGGAGAACACTTCGTTGTAAACAACCACGCACGTTCGTAGGAAAGCGAACCTCGGATTGGAGGCAGACCTGCGTGAGCAAGGCAATCTGTACAAAAAGCGATCATAACTATCAATATACCTGGCAAAGATTCTAGGACGGCCTTGACCAGGCCCTACTTCGTTGTTCTCTCTTGCTTTTCTTTCGTCGCATCTATTCTGCGCGCCAGTGTACACCTTCGGCGTATGTACGTACGTCTTGCGCACTGGAGCCGTGGCCACGCGGGAGGAATTCTCCACTCCCCCCTGGTGCGCGCCTTCAACTCTTCATTCGAGCGGTGTTGTGCAGTCTTCTCTTGGTTGTGCGTACTCACGACTAGGGGCTCGAACAATCAAACTTGAGAATTCTCTTACTCCAGAGATATTTGCACCCACAGCTTCATGAGTTTGTCAACCAAACCCCTCAGCCACTGTTGTGTAACCTGGCTCATGTATACCCAACGTTAACAAGACCGCAGACACCTACCTCAACATTGTTTGTTGCATGATGAAGTCCTTTGTAGAAGGGTCAGGCGTGTTGCAGATGGCATCATCAATACCCTGGAGGATGGGTTTAGCGTCGGTTTGGGTGTTAGCTACCCTCCAGTGCTCATTGCTCATTCTTGAATATTCAAGCGTCCCCAAAGTAGAGTCAGGTGGAAATCAACGGAGTCCCGAGGCAACGATAGACGCGGGCGACTCACCGCATCAAGCCATATTTTGTTTTGTGCTCTTGCGGCAATGCCATTTGGGCCATTTGGTTTGCCGCACGACGCTCTTTGGTGTATGCTTGTAGCAACCAACAAGATCTCCGGGACGCGAGCTCGTTTCGAGTCGACGTATGGTACTCGGGGCAAAACAAGTACTACGCGTTGGCGGGCGGGCCGATCAGGCTCTCAGAACCAACCACTCTTCCCCCCGCTGGTGGGGAGGGGGTTGCACGCGAAGTCTGCAGCAGTCGAATCTATATGTAGCTCATGTGCCCATGATTGTGTGCTGAATCCGACTCCCGCACACCGGATAGTACCCGGTAGGCCCAGTATTGTAGGCTGTGCATTTTGGTTATGTTGACGCGCATTAATGTGCGTCTTCCGAAGGTGAAACTGCGCCAAACTGAGCAACACAAAGCAGAACTTTGGAAGGCTCGATCTCGATCTCAATCGAGCATCAAGACCACTTTTGATAAGTTGCCTCAGGCTCAACGAGGATCTCACACTGCTCCAATATAAATTCGAGGGTATCCTTGTAGGGTTCTCGCAGCAACTAGTGCTGGCATCGAAGCGCATGCATACATGTACCGGAAACATTATATCCTACACCCTTCGCGTACACTTTTACGGAACACAGCCGAGGGGTCATGGAGTGGGCAAGCATGATCAGGAACGAGAGAGCAAGCTCCCGCCGGGTCATCGACGCTTCGCCGATGACGTATTGGCGTGTTCTACATGTCCACAAAACTATGAAATTTGCCACTGGCATTGCATACACACAACATGCATCATTTTCGACAACACAACAAGCAGAAATAGAGAGAAAGAGAGAGAGAGAGAGAGAGAGAGAGAGAGA